GTGACTCTCCCGTTTTAATTTCATCCCCCTCGGACTCTTGGGTGCCGCGTACGGATGCTTTAAAAAAATATGCAAATTTTTTTGCGGGAAAGCGGTCTCGGGAACTACATGAGCTGAGGGGCCGAAACTTTGTAGGGATATCCCCTGTGCATGTACTAGCTAAAGATTTCAAATTCAGCCTCCAGGTATGCGTGGTACTCACGCAAGGGCGTAGGAAAGTTTCTGCGGGAAAATTTTAATTCAGGAACCAGAAAAGGTAGAAATCTGAAATTTTAGGGGGAAGATCCCTGTCCAAGTACAACTTAATTATTTCAAATTCAGCCTTGAGATATGCATGGTTCTTACGCACGGGCATTTAAAAGTATTGATGAAAAAATTTCCCATTGAACAACTAGGTTACTTTTAAAAAACAACTGTTAAATGGGAATTATACATTACTTTGCAAAATTTATGGTGATTTATGTTAGTGACCGCAAAAGGGAAGTGTAAAGCAACAGCCATTCATACAGTTAATGACCTGAGTAATTAAAGTCGGATGCAAAAAAGCATGATCGCATGGGCTCGCTCGGTGCGTTTCAGCCCGGATTTCATTCCATTTAAAGGATATAAGTGCCTCAGTTTAGATAAGGGCAGCACAAAACTAAAGATTCGCTCAAGCTGGACACCTTATACCGTGCAGTTTTCAGGGTCCTCCATTTACAATACCCGTTATATTTCAAAGCCAAATCTTGCCCAGACTGGGCGGGCCAATTTCGCGCAAAAGAATGCAAGAGAGAGCCTGATTTTTTTAGCCGCCATATGTTCATGACCAGGACGCACAAACCCGATGAGGTATGCGCCCCCAGCAGCTCAAACGCTCGACAGCCTCCAGTATCAGCGACTAAAAAAGCTGCTTCATCGCGTCTGGATTTCAAGCGTGCAACGCTGCTATAATGTTTCCGACATCCATTATGCACAAGCAAATTTTTGTTCATTTCTCAGAAGTAGTCCAGTAATGGGGTGGTTGCGGGAGATTAAAATACTGGGGAAAGAGGACGCAATTAAAGGAGTGCGCCAGAGAAGCAACGCTGTTAGATTGTTTCGTCGGACTGAGCGCGAAAATAGGCGGCTACTGGAACTGGGCGCAGCTTGGCCGGATCCGGACATGGGTTTGCATAAACTGACTAGTTCTTGGAGTAGAACTGAGGTTACTGGAGATTGGTGACAGAGAGTACTCAAACTTGAACCCAAGAATTGAGCGACTAATTTCCCCTCAGCAGTAAGTTTCGTGCTGCTCATAAATGAACCGTAGGGACGCCTCCCTCCCT